ATACGGACCCACGAGACCCTCAAAATACGGATCCAAGTCCGTTTACCAAAAATATTGACCGAAGTCAACTCAACTAAAGTTTTTAGGCAAAATTATTATTTTTATAAGTTTTTAACATATAAGCCTTCCGGGCCAATACCAGGACTATGCACGCAAATCGAGAAAGGCTAAGATGAGGTTTTTGGGACCTCGAAATATAGAATTAGGTTATAAAATATTAGATGACCTATCGGGTCATCACAGCAGGTGCGAGGAAAATGCCTCATCTGCGATGCCCGCATATGCACTAGAGGAACCGCAGGCACGAAGGAAGACCGCAGAAGCGGACCATTGTCCGCAGGTGCGTACACGCAGGTGCGACCACCTGATCGCAGAAGCGGTCCCAGTCACCTTAAGCCATTTCCGCACATGCGATGGAATTTTCGCAGGTGCGGCGTCGCAGATGCGACTAGAGGTCCGTAGGTGCGAGATCGCTGGGCAGAAAAGGGAAAATTTTGAGGGTTTGATCTCATTTTCATTTTGGGTCTTTGAGAGCTTGGATTGGGGCGATAATTCAAGGATTTGTTTGAGAGAGAACTTTGGGGTAATGATTTTTTACTCGTTTATGGTTATATTCCACTAATCTATAGTTGATTTCATCATTTAATTAAGGAATTTGGTTGAGAAATTTGGGAAAAATTGGAGAAGTTCTTCAACTAAGTTTTTGAGTTTTGATTGGGATTTTGATATCGGATTTGGATAATTTTGGTACGAGTGAACTCGTGAGTGAATGGGTGTTCATATTTTGTGACTTTTACCCGATTCCGAGACGTGGGTCCGGGTCGACTTGTTAGGGCGATTTTCGAAATTCTTGTTAAAGTCTTGATTCCATTAATTAGATTAGTCTATTATAGTTGTATTTATGATATGTAATTATTTTTGGCTAGCTTTGGACCATTCGGAGTCGGATAATCGAGAAAAAGACATTCTTACAGATTGATTGAGCTTGATTTGAGGTAAGTGGCTTGCCTAACCTTATGTGGGAAAAATTCCCTTAGGATTTGGTACTGTTGTGATATGTGAGCGCCGTGTACGTGAGGTGACGGGTGCGTACACGGGCTATTGTTAAAAAACTCAATTTTTACTGAGTAGTAAACTGTTTTCATTCTTAATTGAGTTATACCAACATGTGTAGTTATCCTGTTTAGCCTAATATCGCATGTCTACGTGCTTTAACTGCTTACTTTAACTATGTGCAACATGCCTAGTTGATTTCCTATTTTTCCTTGTTCTTTATTAGTCTTAACTGTAGAATTCTCATTGTTAACTGTTGTATTTATCGGTTTGAGATGTGTGTTTACTTTTGAGACTACGAGGCAGTTCCTCGGGAGTTCTCCCTGCATATTTACTTTTCAGACTACGAGGCGGTACCTCGGGAGTTCTCCCTGCATATTTACGTTTGAGACTACGAGGCGGTACCTCGAGAGTTCTCCCTACATATTTAATTTTGAGACCATGAGGCAGTACCTCGGGAGTTCTCCCTTCATATTTACTTTTCAGACTACGAGGCGGTACCTCGGGAGTTCTCCCTGCATATTTACTTTTGAGACTACGAGGCGGTACCTCGGGAGTTTTCCCTACATATTTACTTTTGAGACCATGAGGCGGTACCTCGGGTGTTCTCCCTTCATATTTACTTTTAAGACTACGAGGCGGTACCTCGGGTGTTCTCCCTTCATATTTACTTTTAAGACTACGAGGCGGTACCTCGGGAGATCTCTTTGCTTATTTACTTTGGGACTACGAGATGGTATCTCGGGAGATCCCCTGCTATTTACCCCATGTGGGTTGTACTGCTATTTTTGCTGTGTTTTCCTTTTGTTATATTCCAGTCTCTTAATATACTGTTATATTCCCCTTCTTTATTTATTATATACCAGTAGACCTGACCTGACCCCGTCACTACTTGACCGAGGTTACGTTTGACACTTACTAGGTACTATTATTTTGTACTCATGCTACTCTTCTGCACATGTTTTTATATATAGATCTAGATACTTTTTATCAGCTTCGCTATTAGCTGAGAGTGCTTGCTGTTGTATGGAGACCTCAAGGTACATTTGCCGCGTCCGCAGACCTCGAAGTCCCCTTCTATTCACCCCTATATCATTTACTTTCCGTACTTCTTTTGTTAGACTCTGGTGTATAGAGATACTAGTTTTATTCTGTAGCTTGTGACTTATGATGTTCCGGGTTTTGGGAAGACTGTGTATTTATAGAGTATTGGTTATTGTATATGCTGAGCGGCATTGTTACTAGTTACTTAGTTATCCACTGCTATTAGTTGCCATGTTTTACTTTCATTTTGTTATTTTTCGCAATTTGTTAGGTTTATCTAGTTGTAGAGACTAGGTGCCGTCACGACGTTATACATAGGGAGTTTGGATCGTGACAGATTAGGCAGACGTAATCAGGTTACTCAACTAGAGTGAGCTACATTAGACTTGACAAGTGCCTAAGTATCTAATCTACTCAGTTTATACCACATTTATTGTATTGTGCCAGCTTTTGTTGAGATAAAAAAAAAGGAATAATTTCTTAAGAGTGTGTATCTTTTTTGTTTCTAATGAGATAACATGTATGTGTGGTTCTATGGAATTTATAGTGTTTCTGCATTACACTTCGTTTAATTTTTCCCTACGATTAGATTATTAGAGGAAGTTTCGCCCATTTGGCAGTCTAGAGTTATAATATTCAAGTGATTGGTTTTTATTATTCTGGTTTGGATTACCTCTTTTTGGCAATTACACCTTCGAGAATGAATTTCCAAAGAAAATACTTTTTTTCTTTTCTGCATTCCTGAAAATATTTCAAAGACGAGTATATACAGATATTGTACTTCAAAATAATTAATGTAGTGCCATAGTAGGAGGCTAATGAACTAGAGTAATGACAAGAATATTATGAAAGTATGTCATGTATAGCTAAGACGTCGAAAATAAGACTTCCAGGACCATTCATTTATGTATATTTTGGAATGGTTGACTCAAGAGGAATATAAGGTGTTTTGAGGAGAATTTTGCTGCTGAATAATAGATGCATCCATAGTTTAAAATTTTGGTGTAACTCTGATGTTTCTAACGATCTTAATGTAATGCTGGATTTTCTGGATTCCTTACGGCTTTAGAGAAACCCAATCAAGCTTTGTTTTACTTCGTCTCAGTACCAGCTTGGTGTTGAGTCTGTTTTAATAATAATACATTTACTTATAAAAAAATGTATGGCCTGCCAATAGAGCTGTCTTTTGTGGACCAGTTCCTATCTCTTTGAAAAATTCTTTCTCAGATGATATTGTCTATATTTGGAGGAATCTTATTAGGGGCAGTAGATTTCATACGCCTCCAACATGCTTTGGTAATTTTGTGGCCTTACAATGTTATTGGCTTCAAAGAGCTAAGCTTTCTGTTCTTCTTGGTTTCACAAGATCAAGTGGAGATACGTAGTATATGTTAATCTACTTCTTTTGATTAATGTGATAATAGATAGCTACAAAAGTTCCTCTCTCTGCTGTTATATTCTTTATACTTTGATCTACTTCTGTTTCTTGTGGTAAAGTTCCTTTATTCACTACTTTATCTTTTTATCACCAGAATTAGCGAGAGATCCTTCTTTATTTGTATACTCTCCTGTCAAAAATACATTTTATGCTAAAATGTTACCTTAGAAGAAGTCTAATGAACTAGCATTTGCTGATCTGAGAAAGTTGGATCATGGATTAATCAGTTCAGATATGCTATGACGCCTATCTAAAAGTGGTGTAAAATTCTTATGTCCTTGTTGTCGACATAAAATATGATTTTCCTCAATATTGATTCTTGTATATTGTTTACTTGGAGAGTTCTCCTTCATGTTATAGATGCCTCTAAATGAACATGTATGTTAAGTGAAAGTAGATGAATAACGTTGTGCAAGTGCTTCGAGGCCTGGTTATGGTCAAAGCTATATTTTGGTTGTCCTGATGATTATTTGGTTTTTGAAAATGTTGGTCTAGACTCATTAGCCAATTCATACTCTTTCTTGTTGCATTTTGGAGTAAATATCGTCAACTATAAAAATCTTGATTTATCATTATTTCTCTATTGTGACTACAACAATGTGTTCAATTTTTCTTTGTTCGAAAGTTGCTACAAACTGTGGACAGAACAAATAAATAGACGTTTTTACTTTGTAGAATATTGATGTCTTTCCTCCGGAAACCCCGTGTCTCCAAGATAAATGTATGTCTCTTTGATTCGGCTTTCATTCGTTGCTATTGTAAGTAACAAGAGAATGACAAAAATTTTATATTTTTATATCGTTTGACAGTGACAGATAGTGCTGAATATTGGGGATATTGTGGTATGCCAAACTAGCAGTTTTGTCAAGGCTTTCCTTATGAGGAGAGTTTGTTGACTACATTGGCTCTTTTCTCTTTTTTCTGTCCAATTCTTAGTCAACTGATGATATGATTTAATCATTTGCAATATCAAAGCTTAAAATGCAAAAAATAGTGCTTGCATTCAATTCTATTTTCTGCAATTTCAGTATTGGCATACTTTATATCCTAATGACGTTCCAAATCGCTGAAAAACCAATCATTTTAAAATGTAAATGTTGGGCCGTGCTAGCACGGGCTATAACCATCTAGTAATAAAAACAAACTTTCTCACTTAAGTAGCAAAGAATTGATCTTTCTAAGCTTTCTTCTGTGTAATATCTTCCAGCTTCCACTGCATAGAATCACTTATTACGAACCCAAACAAAATGGAACTCACTTTTTTCATATTAAAGAACAGAGGAACGAAAAATTGACAGATGAGCTCTCTTCCATGTTGTCATAGTATTGATACTTAATTTACACAGTTACCTATAGAAGAATTTCACCCATTCATACTGCAATAATCCAAACTACCTATATAACTGAGGATATCTGCTTCCTATTCCTGCTCTCTTGCTTAATTAATTACCAACGTCCAACAGACTTAATTAATGACTTGATTCAAGGAGCCTGCCCACTGAGTGGGCATCCAAGCTAAGTCTGCTGCAATAACATCATCGTCAGAAGCCAATAATTCCTCCATTGTGAAGCACTCATCGCTGTTTATTACTAAGGCTGTTGTTGATGTCTTAGCATAATAATCTGAGGATGATAACATACCAGTAAAAGTAATAGGTGCCCTATCTTCAATGTTGTGCACTTGCTCTATTGACCACTGATCAGACACAAATCCAGCATTAATGTTTTCTTCATTAACCATAGCAGTACTACTTCCTTGAGCCATTGATTCATCAGGCAACTGGGGTTCTGCAGTATTTGATTTTTCTGCTAGTAAACTACCGATGTACTCGTACACTTTCCTATCCACATGATCAATATTTTTCATTATCTCAGCCAATGTTGATGGAACAGTAGCCCTATCATCACATTCAATATTATGATCTTGTTGCAACTCAAAGTCATTATTATCAGGTGAGTATGTGAATTTATTTGAAGCAACTGTTCCTTCCTCTGAAGAACTTCCAACATAGTCAACATGACTTTGAGCTGAAGGTGCCATCTCTTCAATATTCTGCGCTTGTACATTCACCAATTGTTCAATGTTTTGGTCTTGTTGCAACTGATCAAACACATTATTATGTTCAGATGATGAGAATTGATTGGAAGGACAAAAATCATGAAAATATGTCCCTTGATCCTCTGAAGAACTTGTAACATAATCAAGATCATGTTCTGGAGCTGTCGAAAGCATGTCATTCATAACATCAACAACGTTGTTTCCACTGGCCGCTATTTCCATAGGCATCATATTTCCTAATTCCTTATGGTCATTACCATGTACAGATTTACGCTTAATGCAACACAAAACAAAGTCCTCATATTGAATTGAATTTCGTTGTCTTAATACCTTTAGGATGTCGACATTAAGACTATACTCTTTCATATTCCAAACAATATTTTTAATTCCTCGATCGCCACCTAATTCCTCCGTGCAGCTATCTTCTTCTTGATATCGAAAACTTTTCTTGAACCCAACCAACTTTGACCCTTTAAAAACTGGTTTGCGTTTGTCAAGCCCTTTCCAACTGCCTCCTCCGATCAGCCCTCGACTGAACCTTAAACCACCCGCTTTTGTTCTCTTCAACTTAGTAAAGAAATAGTTTACCTTTGTATCCTCTCCCAGAAAATTGTTTTCGAATATATCCCATGGCTTCTTATTCCCGTAAAGATCCTCAACTCGAATATGATCACACGAGAAATTCTTGCACGATACGAATTTAAGTAGAAAGAGTATAAGCTCTTCATCAGTGGGTCGAAATCTGATTCCAATTACTGGATATGGAGAATTATTATGGCTTGTTTTACTGCTCATCATGTTTTTTGTTTTCAGTGGAAGAAATTAATCTTAAAACAGAAGGGAAGTACTTTTTCTGAACCCTAAGAACTCTCCTCAAGAATGGTAAGGTGAAGTGAAGAACAACAAAGGAGCTGCTGAGGGTTTAATGTAGAAAAAATATTGCCTATTTGATGCTACTTATATACATAGGGTTGGGCTATAAGCGGGAAGCAACTGAAAGCCGAATTTACCAAGAATTAGGAAACTTTCAATTCCACAGTTCTAGACATTTGTAATAAACACCCCTTATTTGTAAAAACAAAAATGTAACCTTCCTTATATTTCAAAATCAAATACTAAAACCAAATAGTATATAATATTATATATATGTAGAGAGTTACCCTATATTTTTAAAATTAAATACGTAAACTCCCTATATAATGGAAATTCTACACTAGATATCTTGTGTGAACTGTTATATAAGGATTTAAATATTTGTCTTTCAAGATACGGAAAGTTTATATGTAATTAAAAAGTACATCTAATATAACTTCAAGTAAGACGATCAAAAAAAGAAAAATTGAAATGGAAATGAGAAATTCGTGTGCATTAATCTTAGTATAAATTTTGTAAGAAGAAAATAAAAACAGCATGCGTGTACAACATGCAAAAATATTATCATTTAGTAATTATTACTATATCTTATCAAATAATCTGTACTTATGATAAAAACAACTTTACTCATTTCCTATATAAGAATTTTAACAGGTGCAAATTTTTAAAAAGTTTATTCTACTTTTAATTCAAAGTTCAATAAGAAAAGTTTAAATGGGTGAATTAAAAGTTTTTATATTTATTCTCTTTTAGAAGTTTTATAAAGTTTAGTTAGAATTGCAATTTCTAATTTATTTTCATTATGGATATTTCACTTCCATTTATTTTAATTTACTTAGTCACATATACTGTGATGACCCAAAATATCATTTTTAAATTTAATAAATAATTCTGTGTTCTAAGACCTCAAAAAGCACTAATTATTATTTCTCGACTTGCGTGCGCAGTCCGTATAATTTTTCGGAAAGTTTTCATCTAAAAAATGGATTAAAATGTAAAATAGAGTTTTAAAACTCATCTGAGTTGACTTTGGTCAATATTTTGAGCAAACGGACTCGGATCAGTGTTTTAACAATTTCGATAGGTCCGTATCGTGATTTGGGACTTGGGCGTATGCCCGAAATCGAATTCGGAGGTCTCTAACCTGAGATATTGAATTTTGATGAAAAATTAAAAGTTTAAAAGCTTAATAATTTTTAAGAAGTTATGATGTTGGATTTATTGACACTGGGTCCGTATTTTGGTTCCGCAGCCAGGTATAGGTCCACTATAATATTTATAACTTGTCTGCCGAATTTGATGAGAATCGAAGTTGATTTGACGTGATTCGGACGTCCGGTTTGTGAAAATATAAGTTTTAAAATTTTCTTGAAAATTTCATTCTATTTGGGGTTCAATTTGTAGTTCTAAGTGTTATTTTGGCGATTTGATCGCGCGAACAAGTTCGTATGATATTTTAGGACTTATGGGCATGTTTGGTTTGGAGCCCCGAGGGCTCGGGTGAGTTTCGGATGCTCAACGGGCCATTTCGGACTTATGAAAGATGGCAGATTTCTGATGTTTTGTTGCAGAATTTTCGCGATCGCGTGAAGTCGTTCGCGATCGCGTAAGGCAAACTGAGAGGTCAGCCAAAGTTTCTCTTCGCGTTCGCGAATTTGAGGATGTGATCGCGTAGGGGTGTGAAGTGGTGCTTCGCGAACGCGTGGACAAGGTCGCGTTCGTGTAGAGTTAAAGAGGCTAAAGCTAAGCCACGCGCTTACTCATCGCGATCGCATAAGTCTGTGAGTCAAAGCATCGCGTTCGCGTAATGTTCTATGCGTTCGTGTAGAGTATATTTATGGGGCAGCAAAGTAGAGCTTCACGATCGCGAGGCTATTCATGCGATCACGATTAAGGAAAATCGGGCAGCCAAAAATGTGCTTCGCGATCGCGTAGGGTAAAATTTTCGCAAACTGAACTTAAGTTCTGGAAAATGGGATTCATCCAATCCCATTTTCAACCCTTTTCTATTTTTGAGCTCGGGTAAGGCGATTTTTGGGTAATTTTCACGGAAAAACATTGGGGTAAGTGTCCATTATCCTATATTGATTATATTTCATGATTGCATACTCATTTACATCATGAATCCGTGAATATATTGAAGAAAAAAAATCAGATTTTTATAAAATCTTCCAAAAATAAAAATTTAAGATTTGAAGGTCCATTTAACATCGGAATTGGATATTTTTTGTATGGTTGAACTCATAGCGGAATGGGTGTTCGGATTTCGTGAGTTTTTTTGGGATTTGAGATGTGGGTCCCATTGTCGAATATTAAAATAAATTTCAGATTTTTATTCGAAAAATTAGTAAATTCATATGGAATTAATTCCTATGATTCATATTGAATATATCGAATTGTTTGCGAATAGATTTGACGCTTTTGGAGACAAATTCAAAGGGAAAAGCTGTGGTCGAATAATTTATTGGAATTTGCAAAGCGAGGTAAGTATCGTGGTTAACCTTGACTTGAGGGAATAGAACCCTTAAACTATTTGTTATGTGAAATGCATGTGAACGACGTATAGGCGAGGTGGCGAGTGTCTATACGTCGTCAAATTAATTGTTTGCATAATTACTTGAAAAATTATAAATCATTTTAAATTATGAATTAATTATTATAATAATTATTTCTCTCCTATTCTTTATCAAATATTAATTCTTGAATTCTTGCACTAATTGTTACATGTTATTTGAATTATGTGTCTTAATTGTTATTTGACATTTAGCATATTAGATATTAAACTGCCTATTTTCTCCCTGATTTTCATAATAATTTGCTATTTGTCATTGTTTGTTTCATAATTAAATCATAATTATTGTATGCTTCTTGTCTTATAATTTTATATTAATTGTTGTATTTATTGGAAAAATTTCTTCTATAAGAATCGATTAAAATGGATATATTGGAGGATCGGGTTGCACGCCACAATAGACTTATTAAAAGTCCATATTGGGGGATCGGGTTGCGCTGCAACAAACTTATTAAAAAGTCCATATTGGAGGATCGGGTTGCAAGCCGCAACAGACTTATTAAAAGTCAATATTTGGGGGATCGGATTGCATGCCATAATAGACTTATTTAAAAGTCAATATATATACTTGATTAAAAATAATTATATGAGAGGATTGAAAATGAATATATTGTGAGAGCGGGTTGCACGCTGCAACAAAATTGAATGTGAATATATTGTGAGAGCGGGTTATACGTTGCAACAGAATTGGATGTGAATATATTGTGAGCGCGGGTTGCACGCTGCAACAAAATTGATGGAAATGATAATTGGTTATGACTGCTGAATTGGCTTCAATTATTATAAATGAATTACTTGATTTATTTCTATTATTGTTGTTGTTACTAATATTGCGTTATTTCTATTATTGTTGTTGTTACTAATATTGCGTACAGGTAATGTAAGTGAGCCGCCTTAGCCTCGTCACTACTTCGTCGAGGTTAGGCTCAGCACTTACCAGTACATGGGATCGGTTGTACTGATACTATACTCTGCACTTCTTATGCAGATTTCGAAGTTGGTCCTAGCGGCGTATCATAGACTTGCTCGGATTTCAGCTACTCAGAGGAGACTTGAGGTATAATTGCACGACGTCCGCAGTTCTGAAGTCTCCGTCTACTTTACTTTAGCTGTGTGTTTATTTCCAGACAGCTTTATTTTATTCAAGCCCTTATTTATATTATTCTAGAAGCTCGTGCACTTGTGACACCAAATTCTGGGATGGTATTTAGACACCGTTAATTTTTTGGATTATTCACTATATTTCAGACTTTACTTCCGCAATCGTTCTTTGTTATTAATAAATTTTAAAAAACAAATTGTTTAAAAAATTTGTTAATATTATTCTAACGTTGCCTTGCCTAGCAAGTGAAATGTTAGGCGCCATCACGGTCCGAAGGTGGGAATTTCGGGTCGTGACAGTTGGTATCAGAGCACTAGGTTACATAGGTCTCATGAGTCACGAGCAAACTTAGTAGAGTCTGAAGGATCGGTACGGAAACTTCTGTACTTATCTCTCAGAGGCTATGAAGTTTAGGAACAATATCACTTCTTTTATTCCTTATCGTGTGGCATTGATTTTGCTTGAAACCAATATCTCGTATTCCTTTGTATCCACTCGTGTATGACATTGCGCACTTGGTATCAGTTGGGCGTCGATGGTTCGTGATGCCGCAGATGAACTACGAGGGAGCCAGAGATGCTCAAACATTGCCTCAATGTGTGATTCCGACTGAAGATGCGGACGTATTAAGAGATCACCTAGTGAATCAGGTGTGGAATGCAACAGACCTTGGCATCTGGTTGATTTATACAAGTTGTGAAGGTTAATATTGTGGACCATCGGACGTGGTGAACTATGACTTCGCGCCGAGTGGGGGGGAGTCCACCATCAATGGATGGATTGCGGGCTCATGTGTTATATCAATTTTGGCTTAAAATGTATATATGTGGTACTGAAGGGTTCCCCAAATATTTACACATGTTTAAGGCCTGAGATTTTGTAGAGGATAAGGTTGGGACTTGCGGTATGTTCGCCTACTTAATAATCCTATACTTCAGTACCAAAGGAGTTAGAGAAACAACTTTAAATTTACAGAAGATCTACTCAGCGTGGACGTCATGGTTGCGGATTTTGGGATTCTTCGAAAGAAGTACAGTGGTTGAAGAGATTCTGGACTATGTGGTTTGTGCCAAGATTTGTCTGTATGGAGCTCTACTTTTGTGATCGTTATGTATAAATAGGGGTAAGGGTTACCTCTGAGAAGAATCGAAGAGTATGTTAAGAAATGGGTCAGCTCAATAGTGTTGAGTCAGCATAACAAAAGAAGAAATTAGCCTTGGGAGAGATAATTCTCCACAGGTGTCCGTGGCA